GGTATTGGGGTTCAGGGGGCGGTATTGGGGTGCAGGGGGCAGTATTGGGGTTCAGGGGGCGTTGTTGGGGTTCAGGGGGCGGTATTGGGGGGCTGTGTTGGCTCCGTGGCCCCTGTCGCAGTGCATGCTGGGTGATTGGGTTCAGTTACAGTAAGAGACACTTACCGCTCGGAAACGTGACTGCCGACTCCGGGGCGGGGCCAGTGACATCACCCGCAGGGCGGGGCCAGACAGTGACATCACGGGCAGGGCGGGGCCAGGCAGTGACATCACCCACAGGGCGGGGCCAGGCAGTGACATCACCCACAGGGCGGGGCCAGCAGTGACATCACCCACAGGGCGGGGCCAGGCAGTGACATCACCGGCAGGGCGGGGCCAGGCAGTGACATCACCCGCAGGGCGGGGTTAGAGCGTTACTTGGAAACCCGAGGCGCGGAGTCCCGGAAGTGTCGCTGTCAGTGATCCCGGAAGTGATGCCGGAGGCGGTGCAGTCGGAGTGTGCTGGCGGTGCCCGGGGGTGGCCGGGCTGGCTGGGCCGCTCCTGGCTCCCCGCTGTCTCCCTGGAGGCGGACCCCCTGCTCCCCGGGCAGTCAGAGCGTCCCCCGGCCCCCCGCTCCTGGCTCCCCGGCTCCTGGCTCCCCTCCCCCGGCTCCCGGCTCCCCTCTCTCCCCCTGGAGGCGGACCCCTTGCTCCCCGGGCTCTCGGCCTCCCGCCGGCTGTTGCTGGCCGGGCTGTGTGTGTCCCTGGCCGGGCTGTGTTTCGGGCTGGCCGCGCTGTATCTGCCGCTCCTGGTGCTCCGGGCCCGGAAGTTCTCGCTGCTCTGGTCTCTGGGCTCCGGGCTCGGCCTGGCCGCCGCCGCCCTCCTGCGGGGACCGAGCCGCCTCCTCCGGGAGCCCGAGCCGGCCGGCCTGCTCTACCTGCTGGCCCTGGGGGGGACGCTGTATGCCGCGCTCGGCCTGCGGAGCACCGGGCTCACCGTGCTGGGGGCGGCCGCCCAGGTCATCACCGCCGCCGGACTGCTGCTCGGACTGCTCCCCGGGGGGGCCGCTGGGAGGAGATACATCACCGGCCTGTGCGGGGGGCTCCTGCGGAAAGGGGCGGCCAGAGCCCTGCCCGTCTGATGGGAGACCGAGACCCCCCGGGGATACTGTGAGACCCCCCCACCCGGGGGACAGCGAGAGAGAGAGACCCTGGGGACACCAGAGGGCCCTGGGGACACCGAGAGGGCCCTGGGGACACCGAGAGAGGAGAGACCCCTGGGGGACACCGGGGAGAGACCCCTGGGGACACCGAGAGGCCCCTGGGGACACCGAGGAGAGAGGGCCCACCCGAGAGGACACCGGGGAGGACCCCACCCGGGGGCACCGGGGAGACCCCACCGGGGGACACACCGAGAGGGCAGGGGGTACCGAGACCCGGGGGTTTTACCGGGGGCCGGGGGGACTGCCGAGAGGGCCAGGGGTTACTGAGAAGACCCCGGACACACTGTCTGCTGGATTCTAAATGTGAGAGAGACCGAGACCCCCCTCCGGGGATACTGTGTGAGACCCCCCCGGACACAGAGACTGGAGCCCCATTTACTGTGAAAGCAATGGGTCCTTTATTCTGATTCTAATATTGGGCCAACCGCTTCGAACAATCTCTCACTAACAGGGAGAACACGAGCCTTTTGTAGATCTAAAACCTGCTGCAGTGATTTTATTTTTTTAATAAATGAACTTGTACCGGTTATCATGGTGACAGAATTTAGAATGGAAACTTTGTTCCAATGATGTTACTTTGATTAATATCTGTAGATTATCAGAATTCAGCCAGTTGGTGCTCAGTAAAACTTTCCTCCTCCTTCATTTAATGTGCCATCTAATCCTATAACCAGCCCCGTTATAGCTCCTAGCTGGAGGCAGTATGTCATCCAGTATAAAACAGGGTTTCTTTGCATTGGGATTGCCTTTATATAATCCGGTATACTTTATATGGGGTAGACAGTAAATGGCTGTTACCTACTGCGCTGTTTGGCTGCTTTCCAGCTGATCTGCAGTATGCGAAGTGTTAATCAGGCACTATGACTACTTCAACTCTTTGTGGTCCTGGTGGCTGGATTCCAGTAGGGCTATCACTTCATTTGTTATTATTATTATTGCCATTTATATAGAGCCAACAGATTCAGTAGCGCTTTACAATGTTATGAGAGGGGGGATTTAATTATAAATAGGACAATTACAAGAAAAATCACAGGAACGATAGGTTGCAGAGGATCCTGCTCTAACGAGCTAACAATTTAAAACTGAATGAGGGTCTCCAGTAACCAGGTTCTAACTTGAGATTACACTCTGCCTTAGTCATAACAATTCATACTAGCAATAGGTATTTTGTAATGGGCTGAGAGTGATCAACCTGCCATTGGCTCCCATCTCTGCTCGGGCTAATGCAAGGATATTAAAGGACCACTCTAGGTACCCAGACCACTTCAGCTTAATGAAGTGGTCTGGGTGCCAGGTCCAGCTAGGGTTAACCCATTTTTTTCATAAACATAGCAGTTTCAGAGAAACTGCTATGTTTATGAATGGGTTAAGCCTTCCACTATTTCCTCTAGTGGCTGTTTCATTGACAGCCACTAGAGGCGCTTGCGTGCTTCTCACTGTGAAAATCACAGTGAGCACGCCAGCGTCCATAGGAAAGCATTATGAATGCTTTCCTATGTGACGGCTGAATGCGCGCAGCTCTTGCCGCGCGTGCGCATTCAGCCGACGAGGAGGATCGGCGGAGGAGAGCTCTCCGCCCAGCGCTGGAAAAAGGTGTTTTTTTTTTTTTTACCCCTTTCCAGAGCCAGGCGGGAGTGGGACCCTGAGGGTGGGGGCACCCTCAGGGCACTATAGTGTCCTTTAAGCCAGGCAGCAGCTAGGCTGAACACTTCCTGGGACCCTGATCCAGTGTTAAGCCATTCAAATAGGTTTAACACTCATTATGCCAGGTGCTATATAAATGTATTAATATGTAGAGTTGTGTGCTGGCAAATGTACAAGAAAGTTTTCTCAGGAAGTGTATAGGAAGGCTGTGTGAGTGACAGCCAGGGGAAGTGTGGCTAGGGCTGCAAAAACAGTGACTTAACTCTTAAATGGCAGAGAAAGCAGAGGTATAACCTATACACTAAAATAGCTTATTTAAAGGATACATGTGGTGCAAATTTTGAATTACATTTTAAGATTCTGCAACCATTTTCATTTCTACAACATCCGTAACACAGGGCTCGACAAATCCCAGTACACCGTGAAGACGAGGAATTTTGTCCCGGCACCTGGGTATTTGTCAACCTGCTTAGCACCTACCAACCTGGGTGGACATAAATTAAAATAAATAATAATTTGTGTGTGTGCCTGTCCTTATATGTAAATTTAAAGAAACACTATAGTGTCAGGAATGCAAACATATATTCCTCACACTATAGTGTTAAACTACTTCAGTGACCGGACCCCCTGTGATTGCATGAGAAATTTATTTTACACACCTTGCCATGCTGTCTCTCAGCGGCTGGCTCCAGCTCCATGTGAATAACGCCCCTTACCCTATTCCGTGTTCAGTACTGTGCAGAGTGTATAAGTATTACAGAGTTCCACAGCTATAAAACTCGCAGTAATGTGTATAAATAAGTCACAGAGCTCACTGATCTAGAAAAATAGAGCAATACCGCACATTTATTAGGATCCTGGTGCAGCCAGACATGGGATTGGCTACCCCTCCTAAACTAGCTTGATAAAAATCCTGTTTGGGATCGAAACTGTGAAGAAAATACTTATTTTCGGCATTTTCTTTTATTTGTGACTTTCCGCTGTATTCATTTATTTGGGATTTATTGGTTCGGTAGATTAAACTACCGAACACCGACCACCCTCCTGGCTCATTACCTTCAAAGGGAACCGTCTATTAAGCGCTCCCTGGGCGGCCGCCGTTCGTATATGCGAATGCCACGTGGAAGAGAAAATTATATGTTGGTCTCCCAGATCGGGGCTATCAGGGGACATGTCATTTGTGGGGATACCTTGTGTATAAAGAGGTGCTCCAAGTTTTGGGGAAATTGTGTGTCCACTGCCTGGAGATAATTGTTTTAGTTTATTCCTTAACTTATCTCAGAATCTCCCAGGCAGAGGAAGGGAGGGTTTTACTGTAGTCGTACCCTGCAAGTACAGGGCGGAGCTCTCCAACATTGAGGCAGAAATGGTGGCAGAGGCTCTGGCTCTAGTCAAGATCTTTTCCAGGGTAGGCTTCCCCAGAGAAATCCTGTCAGATCAGGGAACGCAGTTCACTGCAACTGTGATGCAACAGTTGTGGCAGAGCTGCGGGTTGAAACTGCTGTTCAGCTCCCCTTACCGTCCCCAAACTAACGGCCTCTGTGAACGCTTCAATGGCACGCTTAAGCAAATGCTCACAGTGTTCAGAGTCCTACGGTCACTGGGAGAAATTTCTGCCACATTGCCTGTTTGCTTACCGGGAAGTGCCCCAAGCGTCCACCGGGTTCTCCCCCTTCGAACTCCTATACGGGAGAAAAGTCCGGGGACCCCTGGACCTCATACGGGAGCACTGGGAAGGCAACACAGCAGAGGAAGGCATCCCAGTCCTACCATACGTATTGGAATTTCTGAGACCATTTGCAGGCTCTGACCGACTCAGGTCGGGAGAACCTGCAAGCGGCTCAGAAGCAACAGAAACGGTGGTATGACAAAGGGGCACGAGATCGGGTCCTGCTTCCTCTTCAGCTCCCTCGCGCACCGCGTAGGGATGCCGGCGCCGGAAGATGACGTCATCTTCCGGCTCCGGTATCAGTGCGGTGCGCAAGGGAGCTGAAGAGGAGCACTCAGAGCAGAGTGCTCCCTCGAGCGCCCGCCTGCCTCCCGGTGTCAGCAGGGCCAGCCTTGGGGGGCCCTGAGGTGGCCGGCTCCTGGGCCCCCCAGGAGATGAGGCTGGCCCAGTGGGTACATACCGGGTCGCAGGTGCGGCCGGTCGCAGTCACGACCCTGGTATGTACGCCACTGCCGCCGGCACTGTCCCCAGCCCCAGTGGTGACATCATCAGAATTGATGATTTTTAGCCTTTTCAATGAGGAAAGTATTGGATTGGCAAGGGGGCGGGCCAAATGTAATTTTGGCCAATCAGAAGGCATGTGCATGGGGAAAATATTCGGCATTCCGAAATTCGGGACTTCGGAACTTGAGCACTTCGGAACTCCGGCATTGTCAGGGTACCTGTTGGTGATGTATCCAGGGAGGACATCCTCTCTGCTTAGGGCCTCCCTGCCCCTAGCATTTCGGCATATTCCGGCCGTTTTCGCGCCGGCCGCGCTAGCTCCTCCCCCTTTTATGACGCGACGCCTAGCGTCGACGTCATGACGTCGGCATTTGCATAAAGTGCCGGGAACCGCTATTCCGGACCTTTTGGGGGCGTGGTCTCTATTTAGGTAACAGGGTATTTAAAGGAAGCCTTTACTACTGCTCATTGCCCTGTCGTGGTTCTAGCTTGCTAGTCACTCAGCGCGTTCTTTATCTTGTGTTTCCGGTTTTGACCCTTGCTTGTCTTTTGTCCTGTTGTCCTCTCCTCTCCTTTGACTCGGCTTGTATCTCGCTTACTTGTCCTCCGGCTCCCTTGACCTCGGCTTACCTTTTGACTATTCTTGCTTTGTCCTTACGTTAGTCCGGCCATTCTAAGGTCCGGTATACGTACCTCATTCTGTGCGCACTCTGCGTATTGGATCCCTGTCACTTTCCTGACAGGCATTTTGGGACTTTTCTTGCAGCAGCTTGGTAGATAACTCCCTAATTCCCACGGTATCTACCAAAAGGCTGGAAGACTTTCAGCCAAATTTACGAAGTATAAATTACTTAGTATTAGTACATTTTGTCCCTACTTGCTATACTGCGAGTAGGGGCATGTCTAGTAAATAGTGAGCAGCCTGTGGCTGCTCACTGTTTAAAAAAAAACAGGGGGTCCCTCCCCCTCCCTGAGCGGCGGGTGGGGGCCCTAAATAAAAATTGGGGGAAGGGGGGAGAACCTAATGTCCTCCCCCCCTGGCCCCCACCGATGAGCGGTGGGTGGGGGCCCTAAACAAGAATAAGGGGGGACCTATTGTCCTGGCCCCCACCCCTGAGCGGCGGGTGGGGGCCCTAAATACAAATTAGGGGGGGGGAACCTTTTGTCCTCCC